TCCTAAGCAACCATTTGTTCTTCCTGTATAGTAAATCCAGCCAAAGATGGGCTAAGCACTTTCAGAGCAACAAGATGAGTCCTCTGGCGTTTATGAAACACACAGTAAACAGGCTGCACAAGGCAAGTGCTTAGGCCATGAAGTTACAACAGGAATGTATTAAATAGAAGATTCCTCCCCCAGTCCATTAGTACTGCAGTGCTCTCTGGCACCTCTGCACTGAAATCATGGCCTGACCCAGGCAATCATTAGTACAGTCTACACCGATCATTTCAGACATATAAATGGGAGTCCAAGTTCATGAGATCCTCTTTAAAAACTCATGATTTGAATTCTTAAATGTAGTGTTTTATAAGCCTTCAGGTTTTGCCTGTGAGGATCAGCCTTATCACGTGTTCATGCTTTGTCTCTGTCCATGAGGGCTAGTAGCAGATCTTTAAAAACTGGAAGCTGAGATTCTCAGATGAGAAGATGCTTGTAAACACTGAGGCTTTATGGAATGCAAGAAAGACATGAGACTTGTGAATATTAATAAATAAATAAATAAAAGCCAGACTTGGCAACGCTGAAAGGACTGAATACCAGCTGCATTACTGTAACATTTTTGTGGCCAAACTTGCAGCCCCAATGTTTTAATGATGGCAGCCTTTGCTGTATTTAACAGAAGCCTGGATCTGATTTTTTTTTTTTAAGAATAAAAGGGCTTTTGAATGCTCTGTAAAGGCAGTTTCCTGACTTCATTGATTGCTGACACAAACACCAAAACTAAATCTCCCACATCTTGAGCTAAAGCAGCAATCCCATTAATTTGGACAGCAGTGAGCTGTACAGGAAGTGGTTGCTGGAAGAGGACACGTAGCATGAGCTGAACCATGTCTCATGTTGCCAAGCAAGAACAGGGCCAAGGTACATCTCCATACAACCATGTTTTATTTGGAGGCTGCTAACAGTCAGTCTGAATTCACAAAAGAATGCAAATAGCCACATCAGGAAACTCAGCAAAAGATGATTTGCACTGGCAGGGTTTGTTGTCTCTGCCTATTTTTCCACTTCTGAATAGGAATAAAATTAAGGTCCACTCCAAAAGCTTGCACATTCCTTCGTATAACTTCAGGTTGTGATGTAAAAACTAGACTAGCAGAAATATCTGTACATCTATACTTATCAATAAATACATCGAAAGGACTGTTGTTAATTGCAACAAAGTAAAAAAAGCTTTAAAAAAGGTACATTCACAGCAGGTGAATTCAAACCTGAATACAACTACAGACAATGGAGTGTGGCTACTCTTTGGCCTACAGTTCATGAAGTTTGAAGGTTCTCCAGGATGTAAGAAAGTTCATGAGGACAATCCTTCTATAGCACAACAATACAAGGAGTGGTAAGGAAGCAGTAATGCGACAGAGATACCCCAGACTCCCCTGTGAGGAAATATACCAACTACATAGTTTAGTCTCTGTACTTTTGTTCCCTGCCCAGGTACTGAACATAATCTTGATCAGTCAGAGCAGCTTTGCCCGTGCTGCCAACCTCCCTGTAGACACCCCCACACCCTTATATTCTGCTCATGATTCCACCCGTTTGTTAACTTTGTCCTCCCAGGCAAGGACAAGTGCACAGCAGCTCCTGGAAAGAAGATCATTTCAGCGTATTTCAGAGGTGAATATTCTGAAATTTAAACATTGACTTCTATCTCACAGTTTACAAAAGTGGCATTTCTTCTTCCCTCAAATTCAATGGACTTGATAAAGATTAAGCCTTGTATCAGTACAGCCATATAGATAGGCACAAACCTCATTTAAAAGGTTGCCAATTTTCCAGCTGCTCATCTCACTACATATCAGTTAGCCCAAAGCAAGGGCTGGCAATGGAGCAAACTCCAAATTGGATCTGCAAAGTGACCTGATTTAAAGAAAAAAAAAAAAAAAGACAACCAACCCAACCCCCCCAAACTCCCACAACATTTTAAAAGCAGGCTTCTCGCAGCTTGCTTAGAGTGCGCTCCATGGCCTACACAATTCATCCAGGGCAAGTTCTGCCAGAGGTGGGGGACCTCTGACATTTCCATCACATCAGGGTGAGGTTTTGAGTTCCTCCCCTGTGATTATAACCCAATTATATAAATACAGGCAGAACTTTTGAGGTACAAAACGACTGCTACTTGCACATTTACTCAACTGCATTTAAAATATCTGTAGTTTCATAGTTACAACATTGACAAGGATTTCAGAGGGAAGGCTAATTTTCTTGAGGAAGAGGTCATACTAAAGTGATTGAGGATAATGTGCATTAATATCAACAATACAGACTGCTCCACCACAAACTCCTAGAGTGAACCTCTCTGACATTTCAGGGTAGTGCTTCACCCCACAGAGTCCAGCAGTGCTTGCCAGTTAGAGGCATTTATATCTCTAGCCCAGGCTGAAGGGCAGAAAATACTTCTGTTCCCTGTCCAATTGCAAGTCAGAATAGCTTGGGCAAACCTCACTGGTGGTTTAAGCATTGTGCAGAAGGGTGAAAAGCCACACAGCCCATCAGCTCTGCTGCGCCGCTGATGGCTGCCCTTAAACAGGTGGGAGCAGTGAAGTCCTAAGTGATTCTTGCTGCTTGCAAGGATAGATGGGTCTGAGTGCTTCTTGGAATTAGATTCTACAGGACACGGACAAGGCTGCTTCCCTGCCCTGCAGATGTGTTTTTTAAGTAAGCAGGTTGAAGTCACCAGGCCCCAGGTGTAACTGTAAAAGCAACTGTGGAAGTGAAATAAAGACACCCCTAACACAGTGTTTAGCTTTGCACTTGGATAGTCCATAATTCTATCTTGCTGTATGTCTGCACAGACCAGAGCTCACTGAGACCACACAGAAGTTATATTTAAACTGCTATTCCAGGTACCACAGGCAGTGTCATCATGGCACTGATACAGTGCAGGCTGTGGAGCCCACTTATGAAACAGAGAAAATATGCAGGTGACCACACTCTGTTACACTCTGTAGCTCACTAGGGCTGTTACTCAACTAGATAATTTAAAGCTAGTTCTAAGTACAATTCCGCATGCTTACTTAGGCAGTGAAATCAGCTGGGGAAGTTTCTTGCCTCCAGTCACTCTTTTTCACTTATTTTCTTTTCCTGTTCTCTTCCACTGTCCCTCCAGGTGTGCCACTACTACTATCTGTGAAACTCAGTGGAAATGGAATGCTTGAATTTATCCACATCGAGGGAAAAAAAAAAGCAGCAATATCCAAAAGTTTTTCTCTGGAGTTGCACAGTGATGAACAGAGGCAGGGGCAGGCTAAAGCGATCAAGGCTGGAAGAATATGCAAAATCCAGTTAACCACTAGCAAAAACGTACATGAAACCATGGTCTCAGAATAGGTACGCCCAGTCACTGCTCTAGTAGTGAACAACAGCCCTTAAACACGCAGAAATGATGCTAGTCCAAATGGTGTTACAGAAAGGATAAATACAATCTCTTCCTGCCAATATTCTTCATTAAAACATGTTGGGTTTGTTCTAACAGTGACACACTAGAGGCAAGATCTGGAAGAAGGCTGCCTCCTGGAAGCACACTGCTGGTGCACAACATCCTACTGGTACATTTTGTCTTTTGCTTGGCAGCCAAATGTGGGACTTTCTTTTGACACTGTGCTGCCTTTCACTCATATCAGATTGCAAGGGGTTGTTTTATCAGAAACAGAAGAGTGAAATGGAATAAGGAATAAATTAGAAGCAGGACTAAGCTGTTGTTGCAGTTCTTAAAATTTGAAAGAAAAAGAGGTAAAAACCTCATGCAGCAGAGATTTGATTATTAGTTTTCTCAAATGATACCATTATTGTAACTGCCAGCTCCTTCTATATCACTCTGTAGCTACAGTCATTGCAGCACGAGAATTGTACATGCAGAAGGATGTAGAATGTGCACTGTAGCACAGAAATAAGGATGTTACCATCAGTGAAAATCTTTGTTATCATGAGAGGCTGGAGAAGCTGATGGCCGTCTTCAGAAAGAAAGGAGAGTGTTGAAGGGGCCTTCCTACATATTTTCAGATCAGTGAAAGGGAATTGTGTTTATGCATTACCCTTTGCCTAGGAGAATCAACTAGGAGAAAGTATGGTCAAACGAGGAGTTCAAAATGAAGTAGGAAAGGATGTCATTCTTTCCCAGTGTCTTACCAAGACATTCATACAATATTGGATCTGATCTGCTATATCTAAGGCTTTTGAGACATAATGAACTTGCTTTTCAAAGTAGAACTGGCAAATAAAATAGCTTATTCACCTCTACTCGGAAGTCACTCCAGGAAGGAAAATCCAGGCAATATAGTTGGAGACCTCACATTTACAGAAAATGTTTGTGATGACAAAGTTTTTTATTCAGAAATATGCCCATTTTCTGAGTTGAATCTGCAAGTGAAAGGGGAATGCCTCAACCTGAAGGGGGGGGGGGCACTCCAGCTTGGGAAGTACAATCTCATAGAGATTGGCATGGTTTAATTTAGGTATTTCAAGAGATGCAGCAGAAGACCAGTACTCGGTCAATCTCTGCTTAAGAGAAACCAGTTCATCTTGTGTCCTTGAAATTTTGTAAGATAAGCAGATAACCATCCTGACCACACAGAGGGATCCAAAATGTTCAGAAACAGCCTTTGATACTTACAGTCTTTGGAGGAGCTACAGAAAAAAAACACATCCCACTAGCAAAAGAGCTAAACTCTTCTGTATGAGTGCCTTTAAAACAAATGTAAACTCTCACATAAGCAATCAAATGAGAAATTCATGTGCAGGGCTGAGCCCCAGGTGAATAGCCAACCTTATTAGCGTGAAGCATCAGTTGCTTGCATTTGAGGGGTATCCAGTGTGGTTGCATTCATAATACAAACAAAGCAAATTTGAATGACTTTTCACAATACCGTGTCTGACTTCCTCTTAGAAAGAGGAAGGAATCTCAGAGTTTAGGACCTGGACAACCTCACTAGGCAACATACTGCAATTTAGTTCCTAGCTGGTAAAACTGGAATAACAATTCCCTAGCAAAGCAGGATCCTGTAAAGATGAGCATGTTCTGGGCACTCAGCTAGCAGAGATACCATGGCTGAATACAGAGCTATTAGAAGAGCTGAAGGGGATCTTGCTCCCCTTGTCCCAAAGTAGTATCAAGATAGGTGATGTCAAACCTACCCTAAAACATATTTACATCTACCCTTCCCAGCCTGGTGCCATCTCTAGGTTTAATATGGACAATCCCTTTCCAGGACTCACCTGCACAATCAGATCTTTTTTTGTCACACATTTCCTGTGGTTGCTTGTGATTCTTAAAGAGCAGATTCCTCTCCTTTTTATTATGACTCAGAAGTTCTCAATTTGCTCCCGTCAATCTGCCAAGGCAGGCATACTCAGATGAGATACTTCAAGTAATACCTTATTCCTTTTCCTCCTGCCTGTTCTCCCTAAGCAGTCTGTACATACAAAGAAGCTTTAACCTTCAAAATGCAAGTCCAACAAAACTTGTCGCCTTCACACTGAACCTGAATGAGTTGCAGAGCCTCTGGAAGAATAAGGCCTTGTCTGCTGGAGTTTTTCAAACTATGCATCTCTTTGATCCCTTTCCCAATATGCAAAATACTAAAATTCTCTCCTGAATTTCATTACACATAAAGACATGAAAGTGCAATTTTTCCTTACTCATCAACAACCATCCACCAACCCTAGCTCCAAGCTAGACCATTCTGGCTACTTCAGAAAATGGGTTTAGAAATTTCCATTTCTAGATTGCCCTGGCAGGTATAACTGACTTTGCAAACAGCTACAGCTGTGTGTGCTAATTGCTTTCCTCTAAATTATTTATGAGGCACTTTTGACTGATGAGATTTCTCACAACAGCGTGTGCTAACCATTGGCAATGGACTCCTGAACTAGCGGGAACTCCATCACCTGCTGAGGTGCAGAAAAGCCAGCTGTTAGCAGGCACTTCGTCCCTGGCAGCATGTGCACTGAACTGCTAGGTCAAGCTCTACCTGCTTTCATCTCCTTTTCCAATAACTGCTCAATAGGAAATTTATGTGGAAGCATTATATCTGCACATAACATTCCCCCTTTACATTTGGGATTAGATCAGAGAATACTGGAGACTGCCTAATTTAGATAAAGCAGAATATAGGGTGTCAATGACCCATGGAAGACAATCCATTTCACTAAACAGGGCTTTTCAAGCTCTGGTCCCAGATGCAGTAGGGCATCTGTAAAATGCAGTTAGGAAAGCTAGAAATCAATAGGCTTAAATTCACCAAATAGAAGGTAGCAGCTTTACCAGAAAAAATCCTATAAGATACACAAACTGAAAAAGAGTTGAAAACATGACTATAGACAGTGCAAAATGTTTATCATGAACCTTCTTCACTTTACCATTGCTTTTTCCTGGCGGGCTTATCACTGCTATCCAGCTAAAAACTACTTAAAAAGCTATGGCTAAAGGTAACCATAAGCTGTATCAGGCAAACGAAAAACCTGGTGTTCCATGGACCAGTACATTATGTCAGTATTTTTCCTTTCCTTTTCAGATATGAATAACTGATACAGTAAAGCAGTCAGAACCAGGTTACCTAGAAGAAAAACTTCATGTCTTTTGTTGCAGGAGCTCGACAAGGAGCAGCCGGAGGAATGAAGCAAACCAGTCTGTTAGAATTACTGCTCACTATTGGTGTTTTTATTGCCTTCCCAAGAGACTATAAAGGTTGCTGGGTAAGCAAGCAGTGTGACGGCTTCATGAGTTTCACAGCTGTGTCTAAGAACTAAATTTAAACAGGATTCCCAGCCAACCTGTAGATGACATTGTGTGTTGGACCTTTTCCTAAGCAGTTATATTTACTTTGCCCATCCCACAGATTTTAAAATATTTGAACTAACCTTGTGCTTATTTCTTCTACATATGCGAGAAGTTTGACAGTGTTTTCTGTACAGAAGTCTTCTGACAGGGGTTCAGGCAGGAAAGAAAGGGTGACAAAGAGAAGCCATGTTGCTCTGCTGAGGTGAGCTGGTATTTCAGAACCAGGACAAATATTCCTCAACCACTCTGCTCAGTGTAACAAAGATATAACATGAATTGATGTGGGAGGGGTGCAGAGTACAGCACACCATAATCCAGCTTGCATAAGGTCTGGAGGAGGAAGGCAGGGTAGAACATGCAGTTGTCCTAAGAGCACCCAGAAATTTAGTTTCTTGACTGACTTTTCTGCCTTGCTCTCTGGCCATGTACTGGTCAGTGGGTAAAACCTGGGAGTTAAGCAGCTTCCAAGCCTGCTTCTTCAGAGAGATGAGACACATGGACTTCTTGTAGTTCCATGAAACATCAGCCTCGTGATAAGGACATAGGTCCTCTATAGAAGAACTGGAGGAAGTGGGGAGGAAGATGATGTTCCCAACCACCCATTACAGATGCAGGAGACAGGACAGAAGGTATCTGTCTGGATCTGACACAGACTAACAGCATGGCAGAGGTAAGGCTAGGAAGTCATTCATGCCTCATTTCTCCCACCTGTAAATTATTCCTCCCCTTCATCCCCACAGGTGCATCATTATGATTGCTCAATTAATTAACAGTTTAAAAGATCTTTTAGACATTCAGATGGAAGAGAATTTTTTTTTTTTTTATTTTTTTCATTTCTTCTTCTCCAAGGTTGGATGCATAAACACTGAACTTTGTAAGTCTTCTGCTGATGATGAAGAATTACCTTCAGTTTATGGATGGGAAGGTTAAACCATGGAAATGTTAAAGCACACATTTTGAGAAACAGCCTCAAGTTCCACAATCCCCCTTTCTGAGTGCCCAGCTACATACAAACACCCCCCAACTTTCACTCCCAATCCTGAGTGTGAACAGCCACAAGTGAAGGCATTCATACACTGAAGATTGTGTGCTCAGGATCCCAAATCAAGTATCTCAAAGCTAAACCCACTCTAGAAAACTTAAACAGAAACTTACCCAAGAAAACCTGACTGGAAGCAACAAATTCAAGTGCTGTGTCTACCACATCAGACAGAGCATGCCTGTGTTCAGCTAGAACTTCAGAAAAGCTTCATACCATTGAGGAACTAGAACAGGTATCAGACTTTTGGAAGCATCTATCACATGGCTCTCCAGCACAGTGAGTTGTAAATGAAAGCATTACCAAAGTGAGTTTCCCTGACCAAAACAATTTAAACTCTCACATAAAAATAGAATGCTGAAAGGAAATCTGCACTGTTATTATGTTTAACAGAAACCCCAAGTTCTTGTCAAAAACAACAGAATAGACAATCTTCAGCCAGTTTTAATGACGATCTTTTGAAATAGCCATCTGTCACAGCAGGAGTGCTTGTTGTTCAGTCCTTCTGAGAAATTTGGCCCCTCTTTGGGAACATGCTGCTTTTGAAACTCCTCTCTCAGGCCCCTCCTTAGGAACAACTTCTGCTCTTTTTGTGTCTATCAGTACTGTTCTCAGTGTGATGGAACCTGCCAGTAAAGCACATAGATGGGCTCGAACTGCAAAATGGGAAAATTGCTCTGAGCTAGCCGTAAATCCAAGGACAAGTGGGTAGGTTAAGTCCAGAACTAATTGTACTTTCATTTAATGTTGCTTATAAAAAACATTGCAAACATATTTTAGCAAATTTCCAAATGTGTATATCTCATAAAAATTGCTCACTGAATACTCCTCTTCCCTTAGAAAGATTTTCCCCTTCTGTTGATTCTTCCAGTCCTTTCTCTTCTCTCTCTCACTCGTTGACACCTTGTCCCAGGTAAAGAAAAGGTAACAAAGGACTCCAGTCACCTAGCAATGGAATGAACTGTTCCTTTGCTCCTAAAAGATCGTTAATAATGGGACCCCAGTTTGGGACGGAAAACCAACTTCCAAGTAGGCCTTTCTGGAGCTTAATAAAATCTGCTATAAGAACAGGAAAATTCAGCAGCAGGTGAATCATCTCATGTGCTGGGACCACGCAAACAGAGATGGTATGATGCACAATACTAGAATAAAACAGAAGTATTATCTTGCTGTAAATACCTACACCTGGAACCTGCAATAATTCCTCTTCACAGAGCAGACATTTTAAACCAATGATCTGAAGACAATCCAGCAAAGTAGAGCACTAATCTGGACATTTGTCCTTTCTTCTGCTACTGGTGTATTAGAAGAATATGTTTCTGGTCTCCATTAACAAATACAAAGCTTTTATGTATCTCTCCAATAGAGACAAAATCCATGTTTCTTTCAATGGAACAAGACCTCCAACAAATCAATGAGATTTGGAAGAACACTTTTTATTTCTGACGTGGGCCAAGAAGTTTTGAAGTTACACTGGTACCTCCAGATAAAGAGCAACACAATCCCTCATGCTGCAAGGGAAACCTCAGTAAAATTCTGGCTACATGAAAGTCAACAGCAAAATTCCCACCAGTCCCACTGTGAACAAGGCTTCAGACCATGAATCTATTCTGTAGAGGGTTTCCTACCAAATTATTATTTTTTTTTCCCCCAAAGAAAAAAAAAGTCAATTGTTTTATTGTATTTTCTTCAAAAAGCCGTAACCAAACATTTCATTTTAGATTGGGGTCAATAACAATTGAAAAATTTCCAATTCCCACACGTCTTCATGAAGCAGTAGAACTGTATTGGCTGACATGTTCTGATACTGTCTGAACTGACACACAACAGCTTAATAATGCCAGGCAATAGGTTTTGAATTTTCCATCCCCAGAAAACAAAAAAATCAGTATATCAAGGTTCTTCACTATCTCCCCTCCTGAATTTGGATAGAAATACATATGGTAATGCAATTTTTTCAGAGTTCCCTTTTTTAAACCACAATTTGCCTCAACAATGTCTACCACCTGGCACAATCCTACCAAAGTTAAGAAGTTACTCTGGAATCATAAGGCATAATTCATAACAGAATTTGGCCTAAAGAGTTCCACGTCCCAAAGATCCCAACAAAACCTTCCCCTTATCTCATTTCTTTTGAGAAAGAAGCCAGTGGAAGGGAGGCAGCCAATGTGACTGCCAGTTTTGCAGAGTCCATGAAGCTCCTGGGAGACATGACCCTGGTTCTCTGGCTCTTGGATTTCCAACAGAAGACTCTGTTGAAAAAGAGCCTCTCCAGGGCCCCAAGATCTTCACCGTTAAATTTTCTGAGTCATTAAAGAAATTCAGCCCATAATATAAAAAATACAGCAATCTTCCATTTGCTACAGCATAGAAATCTCAGAAGCTACTGAAACATTATAAACTAATGGCCAAGACCTTGTTCATCAAGGCTGAAGCCCCAGGAATGGAAAAGGACTTCAGCATTTGCTTAAATTTAAGCGCAAGCTGAATGCATGGCTGAATAGGAATGGCCTGAGGAATTATGCAAATGCTCAGATGAATCTGAGTCCAAATATGAATTACTTTAAAGACAGAGAAGCAAGCAGTGCTATTTAATAATTTTTATCTCCTTACCAAGAATGCATAAGTTCTTACAGCTAATACTACAGCATCTTCTGCTGCTGCCAGAAGCCAAATGACCTATTCTTTAGCAGTCAAGCTCTACTCATTTTCAAACTGAAGATTAGTCCATTTATGCTGAACAGTGGCACAGAATGACAATTTCATAATACACAGACTGAGTGCTATTCTACACACGTTACATTACCTTGCCCTTGCTTCCACTGTGCTTCCATTTGCAATTGACTATCATGGTAATAAGCTGGTGCTGCTTCTAATCTCAAATTGTATACTTTCTGGGATGCTGGCAATTCATTAGATACTGCTACAGAGTGACCAACTGGATCTGACCTTAAATAGGAACATAAAAAACTGTGGAGATATAACTTACTCGCATTAACAGCCTGCATTAAAGTTATGTGAGTTGGCCACTTCTTCAAAATGCTGAATAAAATGAACCTGCAGCAATAGCACTGAAAAGGGCATCCAGCACCTCCCAGCAGACTATTGGCACCATCCACAAGTGATCCCATAATCATGAAGGGTGATTGTGAAAATGCTTCTCCACATGACTAGTCCTTACTGCTGCAAATACTCTCACAGGCGTGAGCATTTTCAGGGTCAGATCCCATAGCCTTACTGCTAATATGCAGTGCAGCAAGCCAAATACAGATTCCAGTTTGCCCTCCTTGCAGAAATATCAGTGAATCTATAATATAATCTCTGAGAATGTCATATGGAAAACTAATGCTTTACCATAGGATATCATGGCCCCTCCGCAAACTAAACAAAGTCCTTATTTCACTGTGATCTGATCAGAAATACATAGGAGAAAGTGGACAGCAATTAATAAATTCTGCTACCAGAAAGAGGATTGTTGATAATTACAGTACAATCACCACAGGAAGATACACAATAGAGCTCACTGAGAAAACATCCCAATTTAGACTGTACATCTCCAGGGACCACTTACTAACAAAATACAGAATATTTTACTTCTAGGTCACTGAATACAATCTGGCCAAAGGAGAAAATGACTGAAAGTTAATGCCAGCTGACAGTGGTGTGAAAGCAGTAGGGTGGATCTCAGCCCACTTTCGAGAAGGCTGGAGGACACAACCCAAGTATTTTTTATTTGTGAAAGCATAAAGCTAAATATTCAGGCTGTGACTCAGCGATACAGTAAATCCAGCTGCAGGACTCCCAGGACAAGGAGCTAACGTGGCATACATAATTCTGCTGATTCCAGCTTGTCTGAAACCTTTTGACAAGTTAGCTGTGTACAAACAGGTGCTAGGGCAGATCATCTATCGTTAGGCTTTTTACAGTTGGAAGAAAAATCCAGGTTGCATGTGCCAACTAGCTCAGTATAAATACAGGTATGTGCCCTTAGCTCATTAAGATTGAAACCTCCTGGTGTCAAGAGTCACCAAACTGTGGCCTCCAAGCTGCATCCTTCAGTGACAGCAGGTGCAGGCTGTGTTGGAACAGGCCCATCAGAACTGTACTGTTTTATTGCTGCTGGTCACTCTCTGGACTGGAGACAAATGAAGGTGCTGTCTACATCTCCGTATGTCTTATGAAAGGGTGGAGGGTGCCAGATGGTTAGCAAGTCACCCAGGACACATAAAGGCATACAGGCATTAAATAGCATAAATAGCAAGGCATTAAATGACACCATCCCTGCTGGCACCACATCCCTGTTCATCAGTGCCCATTCATTTAGACACTTTAAAGAGAGTAGGGAAATAGGAGATTAGAGAGATGTGCTGCTGCCTTTGATAAGCCTGAAAATAGGAGCAATGTTTGTTTTAATCCTGTAGCAGTAATACAGAAAATGCATGATTAACTGCAGTTGCAGGAACAGTCTAGTGCAATCTACTTTCCCAGTGAATTCCTCCATGGAAAAATGGGTCACATGGAAAAAAGGGCACACCTGCAAAATGCATCCAAACATTTGCATCTGCACGGTGTCCACAGCCTGTGCTCCAACAGATGGTTGGCCAAAGGACTTCTGCTTTTATTTTATTTCATTGTTGTTTTTTTTCCCCTGAACACACAGGAGCAGAGCAAGACCTCCTGCCAACAGCATAGTAAATGCAGTGCATTCAGCAATGAAGGGGTGACCTTGATTAGCATCTAATGAGTAGAAACCAGTTGCTTTTCAGGACATAATGAAGTAGAAAACTTCTGCTACGGCCTGCCAAAGTTTCTGATGCTGCTCTGGGGAATGCTGTTGGAGATGCTGTCTATACAGTCTCTGCTTCAGGCACCATCTTATCCTTGATCCCCCCACAAGCATGGTACCTCCTGCTTCACTGCAGGATCACTCTTTCACATAAAGAAAATTATGTATTGTTGTACATAACATGCTATTCTTTAACTAGTAGCACAAGTATCAGGGCAGCTCCACCTGATTTGTACCTTCAGATAGAAAATGCAGACAGCTGTGGTTTAGATTCCTTATTTTCTTTCTTATTTCCCTTAAAAATTGTTATGCTCTTCAAGTAGCATTTGACCCTCATTGCTGATAGCAATGAAGAGGAATGAGTAGCTCTATAGGTAAGTAAGGAAGAAATTCTGGATCCATGCATATCAAGGGAACATCTCCTTGGTCAGTGTTCCCCTTAGAACTCTAGACCTTTGGGAAAGATGGCAAAAGAGGTTGGATTAGCTGGAGTGAAGGTTTGCAAGATTGCAGCTTGGAAAGGCAATACTATCATAAAGGTGCTACTGAGAATAAAGAGGGGTTAACATGGTCATTGAATGCATCCATCAAGACTTGGTACAAGGAAACACAAACAGTATTGGCATCACTTGCTGGTAATAATAATAAAATCAGGGGATAATAATAATAATAAAATGATGGGGAGGGGAAAAAAAATGGTACCTCTTTCTCTACTACCTAACAAGAAACAGTGCTAGCAAGAAGGCTACAGTCCCTGTATACACAAACACTTTTCACTGGAAATGCAGAGAAAACCAGCCATTCAGGCCACAAACACTACTCATTAGCAGAGGCCATATAGAAACAGAAACCATGAACTGGAGGTAGCAGTACAGAAACAGAATAAGCCAAGGAGTTTCCATATGATTTAAAAACTCAGGGCATTTGCAGGGCAAAACTTTCCAGGGGACATGGGAGGGGGTAAAATCTGTGCTTTGGAAGGGAGAAAATTCACAGTTTATAAAAAGGAGGGTGGAGTCACAGATCTGGAAGCCAAACACATACAGGGTTTGCACTCTGCATGCAGGGGGAGTGGTGTTGCAAATGGGAGTAAAGATCTTGTGCTCTTCAGAGGTTTCTAAGCCCAGAAAGCTACAGCCTGCACTTCCTTAAGGTACTTCATGTTAAGCCTGAGCTCCCTCTGTTTCATGTCAGATTTTAGCCAGAGAGGAAAATGTTAAGCTGTTAGAATTAAAAAAGAAGGGGAAAAAAGTTTAGATATTTTTAATTTTAAAAAGAAGAAACTTCTTTATAGCTGCATAATCAGTTAAAACTTGCCTGTGGTGTTATGTCCATGTGCTAGGTGTCCTTCGGGATCCATTTGCATCTGCTTAATCACCTATTTTAATAACATGATGCCATAGGGTATATGATACTGTATGGACAAGTAAAAAGACAAGATGAAGGTGGGGCAGCAAATAGAGCTACCACATTTCCATCAGGCAGAATGACTGCTGCATTCAGTCATGTGCCTGGGATGGGGGAGGGACAGTCATGTGAAATGAGTTACTTCAGTCCTTCGAGTCCCCAGAATAAATTCCTTCAGTCACTTGTGAGGCAGATTCTCTCTCTGCTGTCCCACATCTCAAATCCAGTATAATTTCCTGCCCCAGATATGGCAATACTCTTCAAGCTAGGGCATCTATCTTCTCCACACTATGACCCCAAGCATCTGCCATTTGAGAAGCCCCCACCTCACAGAAAACCCCTCCTATCCCAACCCAGGATCCTGCCCTTTGAGAAGCCCCCTGTTATCATTTATACATATATAAACAATGATATCTATGCACCTCTCCAGAGACCAGCAAAGACAGTGGTATGTATGCTGGCAACACACATACATTAGCCATTTTCTAATGATCCTTCTTAGCTACTCTGGCCCCCATAAGCTTGTGCAGATTTTGTAATGATGGATTCTTAGGTCCCTTTCAGGAGGTGAATGCCAGCAAACGACACCTCTGATGGAGGCATGAGGTCCAGTGGTGAAGCTGTCCCACCTGAGACTCTTAGGGGTACCAGGAGGTGAAACATCTACCTGAAAAACAGAACAAGGCACAGAGAGGAGTTTGCAAAAGTGAAAGTAAGTGTAGCAGAAAGACAGACAGCAAGTGATATGAGTAGGCTGAAACAACTGCCAAGAAGCTAATCTTTCCAAGGTTTGGTTCTAACTGTCAGCACATCACAACCTGCCATTGTAAGTCAGTTTGACAATATCTATTTGCAGCTTTAGAGGTTTTGTTACACCTTGAGACAGGCTTGGCTGGAAAGAAGTTTTCAAACCTGAAACTGCAAGGGCTCAAAGTTAGGTACAGAATGAGACTAATTAAGCTGTGACTCCTGCAACTGTAAAACAAAAGATGCACAAGGCAGAACTGAGCAGCTTGAAAAAAATATGTCGTGGGACACTTACAATTTTGTAAAGAATGATTTAATGCTACCAAGGTGAAAGATGATCCTAAAAAAGGGTAAAATATATTAAATTGGGAAAACAGTGCTAGCATTCTCCATAAAGAAAATACTCTGCAATTACTAAGAGTAAAGATGTGGGTAAGCAGTTTTCAAGAGGAAGGCCCCTCTATCTCATTAAACAGCTACTTCACTCCTGCTTTTTTTCCCTGTTCAACTGCTCACCTTTAATCTGCAATACTCAGCTACACTGCACACACCAAGAATGCAAAGCTGACAAGCATGGGGCCTCCTTTATCAGCTTAGGATAAAAGCAAGAGATTGAAAGGATGGATTGTCTGTGATTTTTCATTGCAGACTGGTAGATACCTTATGCCTGTTGCAGAAAGGCTAAAGATTTGGAAACGTGAAGATTCGTTTATCTTTAAAGATTTGAAGGAATACTGGTAGAAAATGACACATGAACTTCTACAGAGGAAGGAAACAAGTGCCATTGTGTTCACACCACTGAGCGGTGAGATAGCACATGCCTGTTGCTGCTGTGTGGTAGGAGTTGGGG